TTATCGCAAATAACTCATCTACAAAAATGGTCCTGTCCTGGAGCTACAACGGCGCGGTGGTACTATCGCATTCTTCTTGTCAAGCCGCGTCGAATGATATGTATTTTGTTTGGAAAAGGCCAAGTTTTATGTTCACCTCATGTAACCTCGAATGACCTTTGGTTGACCTTGACACATGAAAGGTCATGTAAGATAGACTCGTAGCTGCTGATCACAAATTTTGCATCCATTTTGCTCTAACCATTCATTTAGAGCCTCAGGATGGCAGAAATGTGTTGATTGTTATGTCCGACTTGAATCAGTGAAATAGCCTCTAACAAGGATACTCTTCCGTGACTTTGACCTTGGAGCAGCCTTGTATCGTAAGGTAAACCAAAAGTAGGGACCTGGCAAGCTTCAAAACATTTCAAAACATCTTGAAATTTACTATATAAGATATACGAAAAAGTGAAAAGTTTGAGGTCAATTTTGAGCGTGAGCTGGACTTTGACCTTGAATGTTGGGCACGTCATTAGAATCCTCAGATTCTCTTCTTTTGTTTAACACCCATTTTTGCCGTTTTATGCATCCCTCCGTCCTCTGAAAGACTTGCTTTGATATCACTACACATATGCTGTTTTTTGCCTTTGACCTTTATCTCTGACCTTGAAAATCGACCTGAGGTCGACAATTATGTGTGCTTTACAATCGCCTCGTAAAGACCTTTCGGTTGGTACCACTTTTATCTTCGTAGCTCCCTTCTTATGGAGTTAGACGGTGGGGGGGGGGGGGGACGCCGCCCCCTGAGCTGCGGTGTTGGGGATTACCCCCGGGCCCGGCCGAAGTGTCGATGTTTTTGGAGGACGGGAATTGGGAAGCTTGAATGAACGAAGCGTAAGAGGGTAACTCCTTAGCTTATTAGCTACGAACCAATTGAAAGCGCCTTTGCTACCATACATCAGACGACCGACGCGATGGCTGTCAGCACACCTCTCCCGTCCCAACCCATGACAACAAACTCACATCGGCCAATTGTTTTACCTCCTTGGACTGCCACCAACATTGAGCGCCTTCTCCCATGGGAGCCGACCCGAGTCGTCCGACTCTGAGACGGCTGGGGACTGCCGCCCAGCTGCGCTAAGCACCAAGCGGCCCCGAGCTGCGCCCCGCGCTGCGCAAAGCTCGCCCCGAGCTTCGCCCGAGCTGCGCGCCGCGCTGCGCAGAGCTGCGGGGCGGCGCGAGCAGCCAACTCCGTCGGCGGCGGCGCGGCGGTGCCAGCCCGGGGCGGGGCGGGGCGGGCGGGGAGGAGGGAGGGCGACCTACACCGGCCAGTCGGCCGTCGGAGCGGGGCCGGGCGGGAGCTGCCGCCGCTCACCGCACCAGTCATCTCCGTCCCTCTGTCTGTCTCCCTCTCTTCCTCTCTCCTTCTGACCGCTCCGCCCGTGTAGTGGTCGCTGAGGGGAGTGGTGGGCGCGTGGTGCGGCGCGGCGGGTGCAAGGAGGCGCGCTACTGCGTTGTTGTGCTCTTATCGAACACCGGAAAGGGTAAGAGAGTGATAATTGTGCATGTTACATGTCGTGATAACTTTGGGGTTTTCCTGAGCCTGCCAGGAGTTGTTTATGCAAGTGTTTGGCGTGGAACTGTTGAGTGGTGCTGCTAATTTTTACTAGTCTTCCTTCCCGCTGTTCGTAATGGCGAATCCACGGGATGGGCGGGGCATATTGGAGTAACCTGTCTCTCCCCATGGTGCTTGATGCTGCGAAAACGTGCTCTCCTCTGCATAGAACGATGGATGTCTCCTGTAATGGAGGAATGCTGATTTTGAATGACGCATTAGGTATGGAATGATACAAAGGCAAACTATGACTGGTGAAACGTTTTTGGAGCGGTGCCTCTCAGTTCTCCCGCTGCTTCCGATGGTCTCTTCGGATATTTGCACGTGCACTCGGGGTCATTCGAGTTCCGACACGTGATCCTGAAGTCGCAATGGCTCTCATAAGCAGGACCATGAGCTTCAATGCCTTCTAATTTCGAATTTGCATATCCCTCCAACATCAGCTAATGTTATTCTGTGTCGTGTCTGTGTGCGAAGACTCTCGACAGTGATAAATGCATGTGACAACACTATCTTCAGCGTACTCAGCGCCGCATGGGACATTTCTGGTGCATTTATAACACCGGAGCTTGCAGTTCAAACAGCGATGGTTGTCATATCAACCTTCGGAGATTGTGAGAATGTGAGATTCTCCATCATCTTAAGAAGTTTGTAAAGCATCTCCTCCTGGGATCAAATGTGAAAGGAGACCTTTCACGTTCATTAGCCACTACGTGGAAGAATTCTAATAAACGCTTATGGCTTATGGCTATGGCATCAAAGTTCTTGACCTATTTAAGACTCGGTTTCGTTTATATTCGCCATCCTAAAACTATCTACCGGCGGGCGAATTAGTTTCTTCCTGTCCAGTGTCCATCTGACCCACTGTTAAACCCAGCCATCCGGCTCTGCAGCTCCCGGCACCATTATTTCAGCCATATATCTGCCGGTGGCGGAAGTCCATTGCCGTTTGTGAGGCGCCCCTGTCAGCCCTGGATAACTATTAACTATAGCGTGGTCACGTGTCTTTTATGACCACCTTACAGTGGAGGCGTCACCCGCAGCCTTGTTTGTCACGTGACTGGCCATTTTTCAGTGGAGGTGTCTCCGGCAGGCCGGGATAACAGACTATGGTGGATCACGTGCCTCTTCTCGCTGTTCTCCTGTGGAGATGTCTCCGACAGCCCTGGATAGCCATAGCTGGGTCACGTGTCTCTTATACTGACCCTGTCACGAAGCGCTGGCCAAGTATATCGTTGTCACGTGACCAGTATCTTGTTGATCAATTGTCGGCGATGCATCAGTACCTGGGTGATTTGTATAGGGATGATGTAAGTCGTAGGCTAGACACACAGGGTGCCTATGGAAGATGAAGACCGTCACAGTTCACATGCATTGGGAATCTGGGCTTATTATGTGATATTTTACGGTGTGTAGTGGGTTTCGTTTTGGAAGGAACCAACATATCACCCACATCCTTCTCATTTCGCCGACGTAACGCTTCCTTCCCTCCACTCCCATATCCTCTATCCTCACCGACAGAGAAGTGTTTGCCCCTCATTTACTTACCAATCAGTCCCCAAAGCCCCTCAGGAAGCTGCAATGTGTCTTACTCATTTCATCCTTCCCGGCGTCCTTCATCTCCCCATGTAGACCCAGAAGAAGCGGGCAAACTGATCTGAATGCCAGGGGACGTTTGGGGGAGATCATTGTCTTCGTGAGCAGACTTCCTGCTTTGCCCACGCTTGTGGAGCACGTTACGATGGCGTGCCGCTCTCAAGGGTGTGGTTGGGTTGGATGGTTGTAGGACGCTTCGTAACGATCTCGCCTCGTGGGACTCGTGGTGGCTCTAACTCTTGCCGAGTATGCGATTGTTCTGAAGCTTAGAAGCTGTTCGTGCTCGCTTGGTATTCGTCATTCGGGATGGTTCTAGAACCCTGCTGAACTCTCGGGATCGACTGCCCCGGAAATTTCTGTGGCTATGGCGTATCTGAACTGTGTCGTCATCAGAGCACCCAGATGACTGAGGCGCGAGTTAAGGCGCGAGTCTTATCAAATGTGGGGCTGCCGGCCGGCGGATGCGTCACCAAGGGTCACATCACGTGCTTCTGACACCGGACTCCTCAGGATGCCGGGGGGCTCGGTACGGGAGCTTCCAGACGGAGCCCCAGGGGCGGGGGGAGTTTGGGTCAGGTGACCGAGGGAGGGGGATTTGGGTCGATTGGCCGCGGGAATCGGCGAAGAGGGAAGGGAAGACTGGTTAGTTGTGTCAGTCAGCGGCGAAGGTGATTAGATGGTGGGTCTATAACGAAACTATTCAAAAGTTAGGAAAACAAAAACTTAGGGACTAAATGGTATGAGTAGTTCGAGATCGTTGATGTTGCGATCTCCCCCGCCGAAATGTTTAACAAAGCTACACTTGCCAGTTGTAGTCATGTGATTATTCTCTAGGGCACTGGTGGATCCGAGGGATTTCATCAAAGACGGCTAAGTACCTATGCCTAATGGAATCAGTCTTGTTGAGCTAATTCTGAACTAGTTATCAGTGCCAGAAATGCAGAATTAGCGAGAATCTCGTCTCACTGAAGATCTCCTTGATGTAGTTTCCGCTAATTTATTTAGAATCCTCTGTGAAGGACTTCCCAAGAATCCCTTTCATCCCACTGAAGATCAACTTGGTGCAGCTTTCGGCAATCGATTTAGGCTCTCGAAAGACTCCAAGAATCCCTCTCGGCTAATTACGAACTCACTGGGCGCAGCAAGACCGCCAGCTCTGACCACCTCTCATTGTGGCGGTTGGTCGGTGGAACGCTCAATTGGTTCCATTGTCGAGACCGGCGCCAGGACCAATCAGTGGCGGTCGTTGATAAGAGCGCTGCCTCCGGCCATTGATCCGGTCCTCTGTGGTATTAGGTGGAAGCTCTCGGCAGAGCACCGGTTGACCAACTATCCGGGAGCGGGTCAATAGCAAACTCCGTTCTAGAATGCTGCTACGAAAAAGATCTTGGTCGGCATTGCTTTTTAACTTTACCTAAACCTTACCTTAAGCAGTTGATGTTTTTGATAACTAGATAACGTTTCCTGTTTTTTTTTTTTTTTGTATCTTCATTGGTTCTAATTGGCGTCTGAATTATTAGCTTAACCTCACTGTGGCAAGCTAGTGCAACCACACCTCTGACCTCCCCCTTCGCGGTATGGCTTTTCTTCCTCCTTCGGCATATGCCCCTCATATCTAGCCTTTTCTGCTGCCCTTCTTACTCCACATCCTCATGTGCTAACGCCTCGCCTTTCCAGGTGGAGATGTGGGGTGCGGATGAGTGCGTACCCCCACTTGCGGATCTTCACTTGCGGATCCCCTGTGGATCCTCCACGTGATTATCCCCTTCTCACCGACATGGCCCACGCTGACCTCCCCCTCTCCCGACAGGGTTTCGTCTTCGCCCCTCGGATGTCGGGCCGCGACAGGCTCTCAGCCCAATGTTGACATGGCAGATCATCTCCACGAGGTCCCTGAAGCAGCCATAGTCTATCTGTGAACGTCAACCATGTACCGCCAGCGTGACTTCAATCCGCGCACCCAGCGCCCGGCACCTTCGTAAACGCAAAAGCGCTAGTTTCGGGGACGCTACGTGCTTCAGTGCTGTCTGCGAGACTTTGTCGTGGTTGAACTGGGGACGTGGTGTCGTGGTTGACGTAAGAAGGACCTGACTTGGTGAGGAATTTGGATCGTGACACAAACTAAGTCGGTTTTGGACAACCGTTTGCCCAATGAACGGTCATTGCTGTTGACCCGTATTTGTATTTTAACTGTGGCGTATTTATGGCTAAGTGACAGCTGAATTTTGACGTACGTTGGTGTACCTTAAGCTAAGAGCGGATTAAGTTAAGCGCAGTAAGCTGGACCTGATATAACTCAACCGCGCACTGCGCTCGCGAGAATCCTTTTGTTTGTGCCCTGTCAGTACCTGTCTAGCGGCTAGTGTTAGCTTGCCTCCAGATCAAAGCAAGGCCAGTGCAAGCCAGTACCAAGCCTGGCGGATAAGTTCAGTGCTTAAACTGCTTGGCCAAGACCTGGTCAGTACCTGAAAGAGCTCAGGACTCTATCGATGTCCCGCGATTGTGGGCGTCTTGCTAAGTGCTCAAGACGAAGTGCTTAATTAGGAGTTAGGACATCCTGACCAGCAAGTTACCGCGACTCACCTTTCATCTGGTTTCGTTGTGGAAAAAGCTGTGACGGTTTGATGTTGGCAAAGTGACGGTGGCCGCGGCCGCCCTGTGACGACTTTCGTTACGGCTTCCGTGACGAAGCCGGCTATAGACGCTCTGCGTTGGAACTGGGGGCATTGTGGACAGAACAGTGGTGGGCCCCATAAGCGTAAGACCGAAACCACCTTCTCACTGAGAAGGTAACTGAAGTCCTCATCAGTGAGGATACGAGAAGGACGCCGAAACTTCTCGGAAGCGCGAAGAGACTTCTTCAGGAAGCTAATCGAGAGTCGAAGAGGAGGACAGGACCTTGCAGAAGCGAAGACGCTTTCTGGAGGTCGAATAATCTACGAGATCACACACAGTGAGCCGACCGATACATCAAAGGTGAGTGGACATGGGGTGTTTGGGAACGAGCTGCTGGGAGTTTTAGTTTAATAGGACTTTTGATGTTACTATTGTTTCTGTTTGAAGTTGTATTACCAGTTCAGCGCGTTGCTTTTTGGCTCATTTCCATCATTTTGGTGAATCATTAGTGAGGTAAATTTAGAAAGGAGCTACATTTTTGTGGATTACTTGTTACAATTCCCTGACTGCGCATTTGGAATCGCAATTTGTTGAGTTTGATTCTTCCTACAATGCTGCTAGGCATTGTGTTGCAGTTTGACTTATTCGTTTCCAATATAGGTAGCTTTTACGCTCGTATTCGTCCAATCGCTATGCATTTTCTTAAAAAAACATCTCATACAATGTTACCGCCTCATGTAAAACTTAACTAACACATGGACCAAGCGGTTGCCAGCAAGGCCAAGTTATAAGTTTTTTTTTGTGGCATGCCTCCACCCATGAATTTTATGTGACCTTCGGGACAAGATGATATCAGGAAAATAACAGACGTTTAGCAATATCTGCGGAAGAAAATCAGCGTTCAAGCTAGAAATGGTATGGTGCTCTGGTCCCGATCACCTATCTTCAGACTGACGAGAAAATTGCAGTTCGGTTCAAATGCGAAGGTTCCAAGTCGTTTGACAGTTGACCTGTTAGATCGGCACGTTATTTCAGCATTAATTCGATAAGAAGGCTGAAGCGACCCATTTTAAGGCAGGACACGTTTTAATATAGTTGAACATCCCTCATCGGGGCCCATACGCCTGCTTTGTTGATGAATGTCTGCGAGGAATTTGGGAAATATTTCGTTTATTGTCATACCGATGGGTTTTCATATTCCCTTGCAATTTTCTGGAAAAGCTATTATCGCGGAATTGCGTGCAATGATTGAAGGCATGTGCCTGAAGGAATTCGGTATTGCATTCTAACCTCCTCATTTCAAGATCGGATGCAATTGCATTGATGTAGTGCGATGTTTATGTTTTATACTCATTCCACGCGGTACTACGCTGTACGCATCGGACATATCGCGGTCTACCGCTCAGCCACTTAACATACCATTCCGTCCCAGCTCTACAGCCTAAGGAACACTTGGCTATATCCCTCTTCCTCCCCTCCCCTCTGCTCTCTTCCCTGAAGGCTACACAAACCTTCAATCAGGACCGTCCAATTGTCTAGTCTCCAAGTTTCTACTCTCGCTTAGTGATGTGGGGTTGATCCCCCCTCCCCCTCCCCCTCACTGCTTGAGCCTGAGCGGTTGGACTTCGCTGTAGGTTGCCCGTTTCGGGCCCCGGGGGGCCCAGAGAAATTGCGTCGCATCGTGGTGGGTAGGGGGTGGGGATGGGGTGGGGCGAGGGGCATCCGACCTTGCCGGGGGCGACTCATTGTCTGAGCGGGGATGGGGGGGGGGGCTCTGGAATGGCACTCCGGCTGGGGCATTGTACTTGAAGTGGGGGAGATTCCATACGACGGTCGAACAAACTTCATATAATTGGAATGGATGGAGTGTGAATATTTTGGATAATGTAGGTATTTTGGTAGTCATTATTTTTTTTTTGTTGAGGATATGGAGGACTAAAAGTGAAAAAAGCATTCGCTATGATTGAACAAAGGGCAGGACGAGAGAAATCATGATTTCAGGCATCACCATGCCAGCAGACGGTAGGCTATCGCTATCGTACCGATGAGGTAGCGGATTCATCTGGCTGAGTCTGTCTGCTCTAAAATGCCCTAGCTTCGTAGTTCCTGGTTTGGTTTTCATTAAAAACGTCTAACGAGGCACTGGCGCCCACTAATGTGCTTGGTTTTTAATTTTGGGCAATGCACTTGTCGAGGAACCTTGTATATTCGTGGACCCCTTCATGCTCAATTAATCTGATGTCTTGAAGAATTATGAAACCTAAATTCACCAAATTTAACATGACATCTGAATGCGACGCAATTTTCCTCCGTTCGTCCAGTGAAAACACGTAAGTGCCAGACACGTCAGCCTGGGACACTAATCTATCGATTCTGGCAGCGGCTCCAGCCATTATTGATTAGGACTGGCTGAGTCAGATCTGGTGATTTCTGACCCATCGTCGATCAGTCCTGACCAGAGGGTTGGACAAACTGTTGGAGCCGTGCCCTCACACGGTTAGCGGCGTCTTACTTCCCATGTGATGCGACACATATTCATCTCGATATGCTCGTGTCTCAATATGTTCTCGATATGTTCGATATGTTCATTTTCTGATTCGAATAAGTTATGTTTTGCGAGCGAATATTCAATAGTACGTAGCTTTTAAAGGGTTTACACAGACTAGGTAGTAGATACTAAAGATCTATTTCAAAAGCCAATTTTTTATGTAAAGTTTGTTATTTCTTTGAGTGTTTTGTTTTGATTTATTTGGTTATATATGCTCTTAATGGGTTTATTTTTGGCGCTGTGGCATCATCGTTCAGCATCGCGGTCATCGCAGCCCATTAAATGACTAATATCTTCAAAACTGCTAAAGTCAACCCGGGACAAATAGTATATTTGGAAATTAACCAAAATATACCAGGGCCAAACATAACGTCCCGGGACTATTGAATCTAAACATATGACCCCCACACGACCGCTAACCCGTGACCGTTCAGTGACCTTGAAAATAATCCCCCACGCTTCGCCCGCTGAACATCTCACTTCCATGGACGTCTTTTTCCATTATTCCCCTGATAGCTCACTGATGGATGGGCGTTGGGAGCGCCCGCGTGATGTGATAATCACCAATGAGCCGCTCAGAAGGCCCGTGGTGTGAACGGGCGGCGATAGACTCTGGCAGAAGGTGGAAAAGAGTAGTAAAGTAATCTTGGAAAAACCTTCTGTTTTATGGCCTCTGGTTATATTTTTTGGACGTGTGTTTGGGGGGGGGGGGCGAGGGAGTTGAATGAAAATGATGCATGTATTATTTCATACAGTTTCCCGCATTGTCTCTTGATTTATTTACATTTTACTATTATTTTGACAAAATAAATGTGAAAGCACCACGGCAAGATATTTTGCCTTAGTCATGAGGTTTATGCACCAGTAAAGAAATTGCTTTGTTTTCTACATTTCTTTAAAAATGATTTATGAACCTTACTGAATAAACTTCGTATTTGCACCGGTCACGTCCCTCTACATAGCGCATAATTCGCCATAACACCGCGTTACAGCCTAGTTTGTGCCTCCAGGTTTGGAGCAATGGGACATCAGGAGTCTCCCTTCTCACCGTTCGCCGAGGCACCTCCGTCTAGGAAGGAAACATCCAAAAAGGTGGGTTGTGGTAACTACAAGTACACACTAAACAGATGCTAATCTGAGGCGGTGTCCGTTGTGGCACGCACTTCCGCGTGGAGTTTTCGAGGAAGCCAAGGTCAAGGTGCTTTTGTTCAGGTCGTAACTGATCACAGCCCCGAGGGCATTTGGTGATCTTTCGACCGTATTTGATTTGCTACTCATTGGCAGTGTCTTATCATCTAAGCATGTTATGCTTTGAAGTTGTTGGAGCTTCATTTTCTATTTCTTTTTCTGTTTTTTTTTTCTTCAAACATTGGCTAACAAGCAACAAGCAAAACGAAGCAGCTCGCCGAAGCCACATGTGTGGTAAAGTGGCGCGCCACTTTAAAGCATTAGCCAGCTAAGAAATCCTCCTTTTATCGGACTTGTAAAGGCCTCTGGCGACCTCGCATGACTTCCTTTCGACTGCACGAAACGATGTTATTCATAGGAAATGGCCTGGTGTCAACCTGTGAGAGGCCTCTTCCGTATCGCGGGAGACGCCACCACTAGGTCACGTTCTTGGCTTAGTGCCAGTCAAGCCTGACATTCTATTAGTTTCCTTGAAATGATAAACGTCAAAGAACTCTCAGCATTTTGTTTCCGACGAATTTAGCGCAGATATAACGCATTAACGAACTATTCTGTTTTATTTATCGAATTTCTTCAAATTGACTAAATTCTGAGTCGCCAACTTCCTATATCTTCCTGAGAATTCTCGATCAGCATCCCTAATCACCCATCTAAAAACATAATCAAGTCGAAAAAACCTCAACCACGTACACATCCGAGCGCAATCGAAGACGACAACACGCTCCGCGAAGTTCCAAGCAGGTGCCCCAGTCTCCTGAGTCGCGATGCGGTCTCCTTGCTCGGTGAAGGTCAGTGCTACTTCCTGCTTATATCGCCAGCTGGCGACCTCGCCCTGGCCACCACCGCGTGAGAGAGCACAGCTGTTTGAAGAGCCGCCACGGGGTACCTATGGGTATGCTTGGAGCCCTGCCATGCTTGTCGATGTCGATAGGTGGATGAAAACAATATCGGTTTGTTGTGATCGAATGTTGGCACGCTAGATATTTTAACTGCAGTCATGTGCGCAGAAACCGCGGGGAGGTGTTTTTCACATTTTAGCTGAACCTTTCGCTAAGGTCCACGTTTTCAAGGGTCTTTTGAAGGCTGGAAACAGCGCTATGTAACACGACACATTTAGACAAACTCACACAATACATATAATCACTCCGCATTATCGCAGGACAGCATAACGATGTCTACTGATTTATCCACTGTCTTACGCGTCTAGGCAGTGTCCAAAATCACTCTAGAAATAGCTTCTGGTAACGATACCATACGGTGTTCGTAAGTGCCAGAAAATATTCTGTAAAATGACTGAGTTCCACTGTGGCGCTAAATGCCTCTTTGTGTCTGTTAGAGTGCGTCTATGAGGACTTACATCCCTGAGTGTCTTAATGAGTGCCCTATGAATGGCTACATATGACCTGTGTGCGTCCTTATACCTACGTACTCGTACCTCCTTGAGTGCCTTTCATATTGCTCCTATGAGTGCCTGCATGATGTGGCCTATGAGTGAGTCAGAGTGCCTCTATAAGATGACCGACATCCCCTCCACACTTCCACAGTCTGGCGCTCAATACAGCCGCGACAGTGTACCCGTAACGGGCGCCAAACGGGTGTACGGAGTGCCTCTGGAACAGCTGGTCATCGCCGGACACTCCGGAGTGCCCCGAGTGGTCGCCCGACTCTGCCACTTCATAGAGAGACATGGTGAGTGCTCACGGACGAAGGGAGTGTTGGGTTGGTATTTTAGTGGCGGAATGGGTGTCTTCACTGCTCAACAAGTCTTGTTTAAACTAAAGTTGGTGGTGTACTGCGATATTTTTATCAGTTTCTTTTTAATGGTATGTCTCAGCGCACCATTTACAAAACTGGAAACATGTCTCGGCATTAAATAAATGTTCATCGCAAATGTATTACACCACTATCATGGATACACTCCTTGTCGTAAAGTAAATAGACAAATAATAAATATTATTTATTCTACACCGAGCTCGATCACAAAATTGCTGTTCGCGTTGTTCCAGCCAGTTACGACCGCCGTTACGAGTCCCCGAGTCCCGCACGCTACAGGTCAAACCCACGCGGGCTCGCGAATGCTTCCTTACTAGCTCAAACCAACCCCTCGAGAGACCCATTCGGGGCCTGCTTCGACCGCAATCTGACTTCGTTGTGTATTTGTCTGCAGGAATGCAGACGGATGGGCTATTCAGGACACCGGGAAACCAGCGTTCGATTGCCAAAATCCGAGCGGATTTTGACATGTATGGAGACAGCAACCTGGAAAGATATAAGGTAATTGGAAAGATCATGGAGGGGATTGCTGGAAAGATCATAGAGGGGATATCGGAGTGAGCGCGTTTGTAAAAAAGCATACCTATCATGCTGATGTTTTAGTCCTTCTTAGATAAATGACATTTCTGCCTCTCATAAGTGACGTTGAGGAAGAAGCACTTGCGCAAATTTATTTTGGGTGTGGCATTGGGTCTATGCATTTTCGTCAGACTTCTCGCTTCGTGAGCTCTTAAATGCTCAGGATAGCGCCTAAACGCCAGCACTTGCTGCTTGTGTTATGCAGATGAAGTGGTTAAGTTTGGAAGCACTTTGGGATGTTCTCTGTGACTTTATTCTCCTGACGTCACAAAGATCCGTGTGGATTTTAGACAAGGATGACGCTGTTTCTGGAGTACCCGAGGGCTGCTAAAGTGTTCGGTGCAGTCCGGTATTGTTAGGGGTTGTGTCAGTTTGCGTGTACGTTCTTCGAACTGCGTAATTGAGATTCAGTTGATCACTCGTTTTTGTAACCAACGCAGCTTTTTATTGCAACTAACAACAAATGAGTTTTTCATAACCAAAGCTCAACAACAGCTATTTATTCCTCTATTTCATTCAAGACCCTTGGTAATAACTACTATGCTGTATTCGCTATTTCATTTATATTATATTCATGAGAACGTTTAAATCATCACTTCAATTTTCCAACGCTGTCACATTTCAGAGAGCAGGCTGAGACTGTGGATTTATGAGGTCATTCCGTCGACTACTTTTGGCTCTCCTGTCTCCACGGCCAAATGACACACCCACGTCACCATGGCTGTCGCCAAAACTGAGCCAAGAAATGTCACTTTATATTTGGTGTCGATTTATGTACGCTGATGGACTAGTAGGATGAGTGTTGCATGCTTTGTGGATTTACTTTCCAAAGATCTTTACCTTTCTCAGACTAATGGGTGACTTGACTATGACATGCCTTGAATGTGACTGACTCGAATATGACAGACTCGAATATGACAGACTCGAATATGACAGACTCGAATATGACAGACTCGAATATGACAGACTTGGATATGACAGACTCGAATATGACAGACTCGAATATGACAGACTTGAATGTGACTGACTCGAATATGACAGACTTGGATATGACTGACTTTGATACGTCTGACTTATACGACAGAATTGAATACACCTTAGTTGAGACAATACCTGACCATGGCTAGCAACATCTGTCTGCGATCATCCAACCAATACCATGTCTGACCTGACATCACATGTTCTCTCTCACAGGACGTGGCGGCGGCGGCCGGATGTCTGAAGATGTTCCTCCGCGAACTGCCAGAGGCGGTCGTTCCTACTCGCTTCACTGAAGACTTCGTAGCTGCCCTGCGTGGTAAGTGGCCGCTGGGTGAATAAGAAATTCGTAGGTGCATAAACCTCTGTATATTGCTATGCGAGACAGTTTACAGTTCACGATAAAAAAGACCGTTCTGGTTTTTAACAACACCTTACACCCAATATCACAAATCACGATAGGCCGCTGGCTAGAGTTGTCCGTGCAGAATGTGCGCCGGCCGGTGTGACTACACAGGGCCCGAACCTCACACAGGAACATAAGGGACACAGGAACCTCATAAGGGACACAGGAACCTCTGTAGGCATACCGTCTATCTATGGCTGATGGTAATTAAAAGTCTAGGGGAGTGGAGTTTTGAAGGCTTGGAGTTTCCCATCAGTATATGGAGGGCCGGTTGAATTGTTGGAGGGACTGGAGACTGACCAAAGCTGCTTACGAGTATGCGTGCCTTTCCATGCGCTTTTAAGGCTAAGTGCTGGAAATATTGGGGGCGGGCGACCTCTTCGTCCTTTCCTCGAATTTACAACTGCAGTGTGGAGACTGACCTGTGCAAAAGCTCTGACCACCGCGGCTTTCGCTGACCTTATGGGTAGCCAGCTGCAATGGTTCTACAACTGTGACATTTCTCTTCTCTGGAGTCTTATTGCATGGTCGGCGCAAGTTTTAGACGATGGGTATTTTTTTTTTTTGCTTCTGAACGCAAACAGTCTTATATCCACGCATCAGTATAGCAATTTCATTCCCACAGCGTAAATAAAATTGGATACAATTATTTTCGCATGAAAAACTCTAAACGCCATACAAGCTTATCAAAACCGTCGCCCTAAAACACAACATTCATAAACACAGCTGTCAGCTACCTACCTAGTTAGAATGTCAGGAACACAGTTCCTTGCCCAGACTACACACAAGACGTGTTCAGACTGTCACAAACAGTTTATCCATCCCGCTCCCCGCCAGCAGTGACGTCTTTTTCTGAGAACTGTGTTTGACACAACCTAACCCCTGCGGCGGTTGTCAAGGTCACGTCACGACAGGGTCGGGCCGCTGCCATGCTTACTTCAAATTCGATCCTTGTGTTGGCTTACCGCCAGGACTGGGGGGAGGGGAGGGGAGGGGCGCCTCTCACGCTCTCCCACAACGTCAGAGGCTATTTCGAGATCGAGTTGGGGTCCGTGACCTTGACCTGACCTCTAGCCGGGAGCGGCGGCGGCGCCCGGCGCCTCGTGCGATGGCCCGGGCGAGCTGAACTTGTTGCAGCCTGAACTGCCGTCGTTGGCTGTGTGGGGTTGGTTTGGAGGCCTGGGACGGATCGATCATGACTGGGGGTGGGGGGGGGAAGGGGGGTCACGTGCCCGGGGGGAGGGTCATGGGCCGAGCGGTGGAGAGAGTGATGGAGGGGAGAGAGGGGCTAGCAACAACGATAGAGGTGGCGAAGTGTGGCCAGGTGAGGTCTGTGTGGGCGGAAGGAGGGGAACTGGGAAAGCGACAGAACAATGGAGGAATGGAGAGAGGAGAAAAGAGAGAAGAATGAAGAAGGATGCGTGTGTCTATGGAAAAAAGGAGGATGAGTTCGTGATTCATTCAAGCTCTTACTGCTAAGAATAATTACCAATTTGTTAATGATGACCCATTAGTGGATACTTAATGGTAAATTATATCGCTGTGTGCTAAGTAAATTATGAAAACTATATTCGGATCGTTAAGGGTTTCATCATCCGATCGCTTCCATGACTTGATCGATTAAACTACGGGCTTCTCATCATGAAAGATATTTCTAGCGCCATGATGCCTTGGGCCGATAACCTCAGAAATAATCTTGCTGCCATCATTTGACTGTTGAAGTTGTTCTTCAAAGTCAATGAATATTCGACTCAGTTTTGGTATTGTGCCGCGATATTTCATCTAGACTTTCGACTTTCCAAAAGTCTTATATGATGTTAAGTAGCCTTATCGCTCTTTTGTTAAGTTGCTAATTCAATAGCTTTTCCAGTGTCAAAGAGCATACGGATTTTCCTGAAACCCATCACGTTTTGTGGTATTCAATGACTTTATTTTCTGCCACTTTGGTAGTCCTCATGATTTTGTTCGCCTTCAAGTTATTTGCACGAAATGCTTTCAGTTCCACTGTGCAAACAGGCGAATGTGCTTCCATCCCTCCTCTCTTAAACTGCCTCTTCACTACTGCAAACCCCGACCGGAAAACACCGTTTGAGGTGCTGTGATCTGCACCGAGCTGCGATCTATGCCTAGCTGCGATCTGCGAGCTACGATCTCGAGCTGCGATCCGCCGAGCTGCGATCTGCTGCGATCTGTGTCACGACCCAGCGGCTGCGATCTGCCCCGCCTCCAGCCGCCGCCACCGCGATAACATGCCTGGCCACGGCGACGGCGGCGGCGGGATCGATCCTCCTGACTGTGCCTCCCACCCCCAGCTCCCAGCCCCGCCCCACCCGACGACCGGCGCGCCGCCCCCTCCCTCCCCACTGCACGGCGCCGCCGCCTGGCTGCCCCGCCCCCTTACCCAGTCGGCTGCCCCACCCCCCTTACGGCCAGGAGCGAACCTCTGTATGGGCCGGGTAGGGGGGAGGGGTAGCAGATCAAGGCATGGGTTGGGTGGATTCCACAATCCACAGCTTTGCAAGCTATCTCAATTGAGGTCCAACGGCTCACGTCAGGGGCTGGGTGGATTCCACACTCCACAGCTCTTTCGAAACAACCACAATTCAGGCTTGGGAGGGTCGAGCAGCTCAAGGCACGAGGTAGGCAGATTCCACAGCTTGCAAGGGGAAGAGGGTGGTCAGGACTCCGGAGTAAGAGCCGAGGTGTTCATTAGGTCGTCTTTTGCGCATACAGGCTTGGGGAAGCTACTGGGGGTTTGCGAGATGTGCATGATAAAAATGAGGTTGGGTCTGGTAATTTAGTTTTCATCAAATGTGGTTTATTTATGAATTTTGCGTGAAACAGTTCGGGGTGGGGGGGATGAAGGCATCGGCTCTAAGTCTTATTTCTTGGGGTTTAGAGTTGTTGGGAGTTAGTTGAACGAGCTTGTGTAAAGTGTATTTTAGATGGAAAGACAGTCGCTTCTATACCGTGCAAAGTCGAAGTTCACCCGTTAACTTTTTCCCAATAATGGTTTGTACACAGAGGCTACACACGGTTCTTTTAAAGCACGTTTGCTATACATTTTCCGTGATCATTTGTTCAGCCGGAAATTTGAATGCATCATTTCCTTCATTTATTTCTTTCTTCCTTCCATCCAACGTTTTCCTATTTGTCGTAATGTTCATGTGCGCTTCCTCCGCTTTTCAGAGAAATCCGTCTTTAGGTCATGTCCGGTCGTAAGGTGGTTGCCGAACTTATCTACATGTCAATGATGTCATTTGTAAATGGCGTATATTTCAGAGGAAATACATTTGCTATTGCCAGTCATGAATCGATGCGAGCGTGGGATATGAAAAGCTCTATGTCCGGTTGCATCATAGTCCACAGGAGATGTATTGCGCGGTTTCTATTTTGGTATAAGAAACATTCCATCAACGATTGAATGCACAAACTGCATGGAGTGCCTCATTCCGAGCGAGCATTGCAGACCAGTGCAGGGGAGATGCATTAAATGTTGTGGCCCTAAAAAGCATGCTCCGGTGTAAAACTGCCGGTGGGATTCTGAAAAAAATCCGTATACTACAGATTCTCATGCTTTACGTTAACGTTTTTGCTGGGGAACGAGCGCGTGCCCTTGGTAGCCGGTTTCATGTTATGCTCATCGCATTGTAGCTGTCTGCCACTACCACTGCCTGCCACTGCCTAACTGCCACTGTCTAACTGCCACTGCCTGCCTGTCAATGCCTACCTGCCATTGCCTGCCTGTCACTTCCGCTATCCTTGCTGCGTTCTGTTCTGGTTCGTATATGTTTTTTTTTCTGGCCAATCAGGGCTCTGCCATTCGCGGATCGTTATCCACGCTTAGCCTCTGATGTCTGGCTGCACGCTAGGCGGGCATTACTGACCGGAGATGTTAGCTGATTGGTCACGGTCTTCCTACCTGTGTGTGCGTGACCCGTGTTCTCAAGCAGACGCCAAGGCTAAAAGCACTATATTTTTTGGGAAATTTGGCCAATGAAGTTTGGTCATGTTGATGGCGTTTTTTTAATTTATGGAACTTATTCGGCTGATCCTATTCTGTATTTTCTGCCATTTTTCTATTATTCATTTCATCCCATTTATTGATAGAAATAAGGAATTTTTGCTCGGTTTCGTAGATTGAATTTAAACGAATTTGAAGGATTTGTTCTGATAGAATTAGATAAAATTTCCCACGAATTATGACAGCGGTATAGCGACCTTTGGGCCGTAACTTGGCTACCCCACCTAGCTACCTAGAACGCAGTCGTGGGCTGAACATTCTAGAGAGCAAAACAATGCCAAACAATTTGAAGGCCGTTATCTGACCCATCAACCAGACCGTGCCGTGACGCTGAACCCCGCCACCTGACGTCACAGTGACGTCACGCAGACCCACGTCACGGCGCTCTCGACTGGGACGGCTGGCCGTCAGCGGTCAGCCATAGGTCAGCGGTCAGCCCGGTCAGCTGATATTCCGCTGACACGGGCCGCCCGGTGCCAGCATATCTGACAGTGCCGATGTTATTACCATCGCACCACGCCAGCGGACGGCCAAAGCCAAAGGTCGTGAATATTTTCGTGTTTGTGGAAACGAAATAAATAACCAACAAAACCAAGGAAATAGTAAAAGGAACCACCAATGAAGCAGTTTGAGTTCGAATGTTATTTTGCTGGTGGGAAGGATCTTTTAGTTATCTACATGAGCTAACTTACAATCAACGCAAACTATCACTGCTTACATCAACTGATACTGTTGACTTTTTGTGGTTGCGTATTGCGTAACACAAGTTTTGTATTGTGTGAGGACGTAGTCATAAATTACTGATTCCCATAAGATATTCTTTCTGAAAGCCCTGTTGAGCTATCAAACATCTGCATGTTAGGTAAGCTTCTGAAAATTTAAAGGTTTCGTGCGGCGCTGTCCTACATAGAAGGAATGTCACTGGCGCTACTGAGAGACTTTGTAGTGCCTTTAATATCGAACGAATTCCTGTTAGTAGCGACTTCGGAAGTGAACTACCAATAAAAATTAACCTAGCTGCTGGAATATTTACTCAAACTCAAGGAAATATCAACACACATTGCTGAGTTATCTATGACTTCCAGATACACACACACACTGAAGTCTGATCATTACCTGGCATATCCTTTGCTTTCATCGTTTATCTTTCCCAATATCCCCCAATATTGTAAAACATGCCTTCACACATGTATCCCGCGGTATATAACTACCAATGGTCGACACTCGTAAGCGTCGTACCCCGTCTTCTCCCTCATTATCTGCCTCTGTTTATTCATCCATGACTGAGTTATGCGTCTCCTTTCATTTCTATACCCACACCTATCCTGAACCGGACTCCACCTGTCGCGTCCTCTCCTAATTCTTCATAATCTTCCTCCGATCTCCCCTAATCCGACAGGGTGGGACCGATTTGAATCGTAGGGTGGCCAAACTGGTTTCAGAAGCGACCGAGCACGTGCCAAAACACGTGACTTGGCCTGGTGGGAGCAGCTTAGTGGGATCAGTCATAACGGATGTCTATGTTTTCAGGTTTTTTTGTGTGTGTATTTCATCAGCGTAGGGGACCTGCCAGCGTGGGTTTTTATTTGATATTTAGTGATGGAATGATGGATGCTGTTCTTGTTCTTCAGCTTTTTTCTTTTGCTTAGTTCTAACAGATTGCGCTTTGGGCTTCCTAGCAAATGTCTACCGGATATGATAGAAATGCCCCTCGCTTCCAGGCGACCAGGCGTTATTCTTTCCACGCCCCTCCCCCTCCCCCATCTACCTTGATTATTGCGTCACGTAGTGACTAATGGTCAGTGACACTCAGAAGGTCAGCATCGCCTCACCCACACCCGGCTGCGTTGGCCCGATGGACGGAGCCGTGAATAGCTGGAACTGTACACTGGTGACTCGGCACTCGGCAGTCGCACGGCGCTGGAAGTGTCTTGTCAGCACCACTGTGCACATTTTGGGAGGGTCGTGTGTTCAGCCTGGTGACCAAGCCCATCACCACGTGGCCAGAAGTGTTTAGTTTGGTGAGATGGTGAAACACCAGACTTCCCTGCTGTTTTGGATCCGGCCAGAGTTGGTATTCGGCTCGAATGGGGTCGGTCTGAATGTCCTTAGGACGCGCTTGTGGACTGAGTTGTGATAGCGATTCCTTTTGAGATGAATGGAATTTTGCTACTCTCGGCCCCATGACCGATAGCTCCGCTACCTTGAGTTCCACCGCCACTAATGACTTTGCTACCCCCGGTTTCACCGCCAAACGGCTTTGCTTTCTTTAGCCGCACATTCCCTCTAAGGCTCCATAGTCCACACTCCACGGCCGTTGGCTGTGCTGCTTGGCTCTTCAGCTGATGATTCTGCTGAACCCAGTTTACCCTTAAGAGCTTACTGAGAGATGCTATCCGATACATCCGGTCAGTCTTCACAGATCACTCTAGCTGTATCGACCTGCTCCCGACTTTTCCTTTTTCGTCTTAAGTTATTCGTCTTTCCGTCCTTGTGATCAGCCTGTCCTGCCTCTATGATCTATCCGTTGCAATTCATTTTTGTTTATCTGTCATTACAACGTTGACCGATTCGTCCCACGGAAATCTGTCCGAACCGATGAACTGTCTTCCCGTCGGTCACGGTTGTCAATGGTCGATCAAGAGCCAGCAGTGTTCAGGCTCACTCCCAATACGTGTGGTTGCATCACATGACATTCCCTATAGCCCCAAACAATGACACTTATGACGAAGTTCTGTGTCGAGTCGGGTCGGAGCTGCAGGATGACCTTTGACATTCAGCCTTTAGCACGTAGGACAAAGAGGCTCCTCACGTGACCTTGACTCTCGGATCGATGACCTTACAACGTCACACTTGTAATGTCGACCAAAGTTGGTGTTCGTATTTAAACTGACAGGCAAGGCGATCGTATATGAGGTAGGAAGACCGGTGTTTTTGAATGGCGTCTGCGTATCCACGCTCTCCCCCCCCCCCCCCCCCCCGCCTCTATAGGTTTTCCACAAAAAGTGGTATACCGACCGGTAAACTCATGAGAACGAGTGGGGAGGGCGGGAGTGCGATGGTTTTTTAGTGAGGATTAGGAAGCTTCGCATACCTGGCTAGTGAAGAAAACCTTGCCATGCGGAAGTTATTCCTTGGAAAAGGTTGAATGTATGAGGGTTGTTATAACGCCGTGCAAAAATGCAACGTGGTGATAATGTGTGCTATGGCTCATAACTGATTTTTTTCTGACCTAACGACTGTGGTTAACAGTGGCACCATACTGGCTCATTACTTTTTTCACTGGTGTTATCTCGTTACCCATCGCGTCGCCGTATCCCATTCCTCATTATCTTTCCGTCCGCGGCGTCTGTTGCCGCCACATTCTGCCCATAATGATCATTTGATCCGTAAAGGTGGACAGAATCTCGGAAAACTAACTGGCGTCATACACCTGGACGAGGTGTCAAATGAACGCTAGGTAGATAGGCTGTCTTTGGTCTGGCGCGTAGGCTTACTTTTCTGTAACGATAGTGTATCGAACCACTGAGGATTTTGTTTCACTCTTGGCGTTTCGTATTCATCAAATTGTAATAAATGTGCTGGCTCGAATAACGTGTGTCGTTCAACAATGCGCTAATTTGTCACTTGGTGATCAATATAATGTCCTATGTAGAAATGTGTAATATTTGACATCAGGCATGTTGGTAAAATTAAATGCCTGTCTTGATGGACTGTGTTACCTGTGTCTGATTCGCTCGCTGGCCACTCACTCACTCACTCACTCACTCACTCACCCCCTCACTCACCGTTACCCCGCCTCTCTCCGTTTACAGAGGAGGGGAGCCCGCCCCGGCGCTGTGAGCTGCTCTCTGCGCTAGTTCACTCTCTCCCGCCGGCTCACTACGCTCTGCTCCGGTTCCTCTGCTCTTTCCTGCGCCGGGTCACCAACTTCCACAGGTGGGTAGAGTAGGGAGGTGAGAGGATAGGTCAGAGGTCAGGGTCAGAGGTTGTGGTTTTTGCTGGGGGAGTAGGTATCTCTTACCTGTAGAAGATCGTGAGATCAATTACTAGCAACCATATCACGCCAGAGTAAATATTAGATCAAAGGTGCTGGACGTGTTTCTTTTTTTGTAAGACAGGTGAAAGAGTGCGAGGTCTGAGTTAGAGCCGAATGTAGATTATCCAAGCAGCTTTTTTGCAAAGGCTTTTATGCCGTGTTTTATGTGCGAGCTGCCAGTTTCCTTCGGTGACTGAGATACCTACAACTTACATTGCATGAAGAGGCCAATCTACGATTCAACATCCGAGCATTGCAGGTGCTCGCATGCAGCACCTGTGCCCCGTTGCTATCAATGTGACTCATCTTATCACCGGATCAATATTGGCCGGGAACGTGCGATGGGCAGGGTTAGCTTTACGAGCGCTGAGCTCCACCCGGGAGGCTAGCGTTGTCCGGTGCTGACACCTATCGACATAGCTGGAATCTCGGCTGTGTGGTCGCATGTAGGTGTCGCTGGGCGGCCATAGCGTAGGACGGTCTGAAAACGCAGAGGGATTGGCGATTGCAACATTGCAACAACATTTTGCAACCAACTTTGTGATGGTGGGCGGTGGTTGGTAGTATTGCTTCGTACTCTTGGTGGCTGCTCTAAATTTTGTGACTGATTTGGTGCTCATATAGCGTGTTGTAGCGTGTTAATGATCGCCCGTATTAGGTTACTTTGCATCTTATCGTTAGCGAGTTGCCAGTTCTCCCTTCCTATCGCGCCATTGGCAAAGTAGAATTAAAAGGGGCAGTTTATCATATATAGCAATTGGAAACCAATGTTTCGTCGGTCGGAATAATCGGATACCAATTTGTCGTGTACCTTATCAAGCTTAGAATGCTTGATGCTTTATTGTTATATGTCCTCCCGTGATTTTTCTGAGTTTCTGCCCTTTCTCATCCCCCTCTCCTTCCCCTGTATCGTTGCAGCGCTGTCCATATGTCAGCCGACACACTGGGCATCATATTCGCCCCCAATGTGTTTCGTCTCTCTGCAAGGGAAGGGGGCGCCCCCTGTCTGGAGCAACAGGCTGCCATCAACCGAATACTGGCCCAGCTCATACACAACTACGACAGAGTAAGTACGACTCGACAGAGTGAGTACGATAAGATGATCAGCATTTTGTGAGGGTGCCCCATGCCTAAAGCAACACGTCATACTGATATACCATGCCACTTATATACCTGGCCCATCTCATACACACATACGACGGAAGAAGTACGGCTAATTTTTGAATGTTCAATGTGCATTCACTGGCCCCTGCATGTAGCAAAGCATTGTGTTGTCAGCATTACGGCAGCTGGCATCGTTATAGAGAAAAAACTTATGCAATGGCGACGTTGCCGCTTGACATATGTCTATGATGTGAATAGGATTGTGTGTAGTGTGCATTAATGCGATTTGCAACTACATATAAAGTCGAACAGACAATCCTACACAAAGACACAGGTAGACTGACAATTACGCAGACATACATACAAACTACAGACACAGAGACACACAGGCATTAACGCGGCGCTGCAGCGGAACTATCACTGGATCTTTACAGAGCGGCTTTCATTCCGTCAATGTCACCGAGCCTGTATTTCACCCGTGAAAGGATCGCCTGCGTCAGTGGGCCCCTTGTAATCTGAACTGAAGCCTTTTTCTCTTGGGGCGTCTTTTTTCCATACCAAACACATTGAGTGAGCTTGGCCATGAGTCTGAGCCATGTTAAACGTTACTTTCGAATATGTGTTTAACGTGAATTCCTCCGACCTTGCCCGAAATTCCCTAACCGTTACACAATCCGCTTGTCGTGCTTACCTTATTTCTTGTTCTTTTTATGACAAGGACATGCATCTTGATATGTTTTTAAGTGTAATGGACGAAGTGGCTTGGTTACTTTCACGTTATGTTAGAGACTGTAGTGTATATTTGACCAATTTTATGTGTGTTGTGCTAAAATATGACACATGCCCTCACAAGATATGTTGTGGAAGATTCGGAGTGGAATGAGCAATTAGAAGAGAGAAACCTCGCGCACTTTGTAGTTTGCGAAGCTACTTCTTAATACAATTATTCTATACAATATTCTAAATATTTTGATTCCTAATATACATTATAACGACTTTGCGCCGTTCACGCATGTTAAAAAAGTATGGTTAAATCTTGATAGCACAAGTATTTTTCGCAGCATCGGAGGACTGTCTCTAAACGCGCGCGTGATTTCAGTTTTTTAAGTAAAACGTCGGTATAACAGAAATTAATCCCGGGAATAATATTGTTAATCATACTTTTTCTTTCCGTGGTGGAGCCCGAATGGTTTCACAAGAATGGTTTCAAGCTGCTCGCTGAAAAAAAGAATATTGGCCTGCATTGAGATTGAATGTTAAGTGCACCGAAGGCAACACAGAGCTAAATCAAATTCAGAGAGAGCTTTGAGACGCCTTCTTAACTTTTTTTTATAATCTGATAGGCCCACTGCTTTGTCCGATCACTCAAAGGTGGTGCTCGTAATGCAGAAAATGGATACGAATGGTACAGACAGCGAGAAAAAAACTGCAGTTTGCTCTCCCAAGAGCTGGCGAACAGAGAAGCAGAAGGTGTTCCAACCAACACAAGGAAGACCCAGAATGGGCTGTAGCCACTTATCGTGATAGGAGCAGCGCAGGCCAAGTGTCTGATTGGTATACCCAGGCACACATGATACAGAGATGATGGAATAGATCAGAGCTTGTAAATACGCGTTTTCAGAATAAGGTTCTCACAGAAGGCGGCCCTGGGTGCTTAAGTTCTTTACAAGTGCTGCAAGAGGGCCTGCATATGAATATAAGAGACTGACCGAGACATTGCAGTCCACTTATTCCACTATTGCATTTCCTAATTGGCGCTATTAATATGATTAATTAGTACACACTTCGTTATTAACAAATGTTCCCCGAAAACAAAACCAAGCCCCGTTTCTTTTCCCAATCCCTCAATGTAGCCCTTTTAAATAGACGAGCTGAGCAACGAACGGCGCAAAGTCGTTATAATAAATGTAATCGGACCGCCTCCTCGGTACACCAGGCATTATTCGGTGTGCCTTGCCAAGAGTGTTTATATTTAATGCACTCGCAGGCTCGTGCATTAAATACAAAAATAACACTCATTTCATTCGTGTTATTTTTGAAAATATTAACCTCACTTCGTTCGGTTAATATTTTAGAAAAAATAACGCCCTCACTCCGTTCGGGCATTATTTAAAACACCCTTGGCTAGGCACACCGAATAATACCTGGTATATCGAGGAGGCGGTCCGATTAAATATATAGTATTCAGCCACAGTCTGTCTCGTTTACCTATAGTTTCCACCTTATTATCACCGTTGTGTTTTGTTTCAGATCTTTAACGACCTCGGACAGCGTCATCGGCCGGGCTCCAGCGAACCCCCCAGGTAAGGCCTCCCCCCCCCTGATTCGGGTGGCGACCCTTCCCCCAGGTAAGGTCGGGTCGCTCAGAAAACCACCTATTTCAGCCCTCCTTCCCCGGTTCAAGCACCCAAATGAGGCACCGATCGGTACATGTTATGGTCGTGGAATGTGCGGAATGTGGAATAAATTGCACACTTTCGATATATAAGAATCACGCCATTCTGAAGAAAAACAACAAGAACCCGAGATATAAAGGACACTAATGTATGATCAAACATAATTAAGGATGAATAACAGTGTTGATAATTTGCTTCTCTTAGCTTCATGTCCGTGCCATTTCCCTCTACCGTTCAAGGCGTGGCTAGCGGGACGCACAATGGTTCCACTGCTTGACCAATGTCCACACATTCTTCACACTCTTATTTGTCCCGATAAGAGACAGTTACGTCTGGGTAAGTGTCTAATGACGTCAGTACTGAGTTTGCTCATCCATCGACCAGCACTTACCTGCACTTGAGTCGGTTTCTTATACTAGAGTCGGCCAGGCCTCTTGCACTTGGTGTGGCCACTCCCGTCATTGTCGTAGTGCTTATCAAGAGGGGCCCCTCTTGTCCTCTTGACCGCTGGAGGAGGGGGACAGAGGTCTCGGTGATCGCTGCCACCATTCAATCTTTCATCAGCTCCCATACTATTTAAGTTTTTGGGTGTTTTAGGAACATTTTTGTTTATAACTCTTTCAATTATCGTTCACCATTTATATACATCCGGCTTTGATTTATTTTTATATGAAGTTGGGATGTTGTCTGGTTAAAAAAGTACATGCAAGCAATGGGATGATGGCATTCGGGTTGCGGGCTCACCTTTGACGTTTCGCCCATGACTTTCTCGCACCCCGTCCTTGGCGTGCATCTTTCCCCCATTGCCAATGCCGGAATGCCAATCGCCATACCAAATTGTCGCCGGGCTGGGCCCCACACACGGGCTTTTGACGTCCGGGAAACTCGGGCACCAGACACCGTGACACTGAAATGGCATGTGATGACGGAACTCATATCGACTGCGACACGACGGGGTTTGGTGCGGATTTTTAGTCGGTGATGGGTGATTGGGGAATGGGTGGGGCCAGGTGAAGGCTATAGGAGCTGATCAGAGTGAACTTGTGTAACCTTGAAGTGAGACTGCGTCGTGTATTCATTGAAAGTTGTGCGCCTTTTCACCTTTTAAAAGCTTTCAACTTCTGAAATCTAAAAAAAGATGCTTCTTATGTCTTTATTTCCACTTGTTCGATGCTCATGTTCAACGTATTCTTACTCCCAAGTTTTCAACACAAACTAAGCTTTAGTCAATAGCCATCGAGCTGACCGCTGCATGTTTGTATCTTCATTTATTTCTATCCGCTTTTCAGCAGCGGCAGAGAGCGTGGCGACGAGAGCGACGCCAGCGCCCCTAGCGGAGACATCCAGAAGTGAGTACCGAACCGCCTCGAGGCGTGCTGTGCGTTGTCCATGTGCGTGTTTTCAGTTTTGGATTGAATTTTACACACCGGATTCCTAACTAGTAGTGTTAGAATGGAACACCTGCAAAAGGTGGCAAGGAAATCGACAAACTTTTTTCATGTTTTTAGTTTTATCGTGAGGAGGCTTCGGCAGTGGAACGCCTGGCAACATTTGTTCGTCTTTTATGTAATTCAGTTATTATGGCTAAATTCACCTTATCAGAGGCCATTGCACTCTCAAATGCATTGGTTAACAGCAAAAACTCGCAGTTACCGGGACAATTAACCGGAAAATTAACGCACAAAGTAAGTTGACGCCTGTAGTCAGCTGTAAAATGAATGAACAAACGATGACTTATAAGGTCAAATAAAATTCTCCAAATCCACACGACTAATTTGTGACGCTTGTAAGAGCGTGAGCGCCTGCCTCCTGTTCATATTTCCTGCTGCTACCCTTGACAACGATGGTGTAAGACCCATGAAAGACAGCTCGCCAAAGGTGCCTCACACGGATGCTTGAACATTTTTGGATTGACACAGACTGCTATCTGCGTTGTTTCGACGAGTTTTGTCGTAGTGGGAGACCTGGCAACACCGCCTCACGTGACAGATTTTGTCGTCATCGTTCGCCGGTTTGGAAGCTGCTTTTTACCAGTTTGTGTCACGAGCGATGGTTCGCTGCTTTTATGGCAGTGGGTTAGGTCTTTAGAAGGATCTGATGCGACGTTGATTGTCGGACTTGTCCAGGGCCTGATTGTCTGTTACTGGGCTGAACTAGTTTGATCAATTATTTTGTTAATGTTAGTGGAATCATTGGTTTAAAAAAACTTATTTCTTAGACACTTTTTGTCATTTGTTGATATTTTGTCATTAGCCATGCTGCTTTTGCGTAGCGTTCTTGTCATGCAAAAATGGTCTAACTGTCAAATCCGAAACGTTTTTGATTTTGCATAAATTATCTTTCAAAAGGGCTCACTTATGACATTTGGATGTCGTGAATAGGTACATGGGAATTATATGAAAAGCGACATTCACCATTCAGTCAGTTATAGCCTTCCATGCGTTCGGCCCTGTCCTATACACGCAGGAGTAGAGCAATGAAATGTTTAATATCGGTCAAGGTACTCCCGTGTCTGATTTTAAGTCACCCCGCATATAATGTGCATCTCTCTTGTAGTCACGCAACTCACACAGATGTGTCATGGCCGCTGCGAATTATAAACTGCGTCACACAGCTTTTACACATAAACCCAGACTCCACACACTAACAATATCCGCTGTACGCCACGGCTAATCCATTTCCTGTCTGGCAGGTCCCATGAACATTGTGCGTTGAACTGGTAAAATCCGGTTAGAGCCAGAACAGCTGACGATTAGCTGGCAAACAGCTGACCAGTGGCTAAGTGTAATCCCTGGGGTCACGGCCGAGCATTGGTGCAGCTTTTCCCATGGTTTGTTGTATGGTTGCCAGTTTTAAAAGGCTCAGTCTGTCTGGCGCCATAGGTGTTTTGGTTTCTATGGTAACGAAGCATGATGAAAGGATCGGTCATTGGTCAAATTAAGGGCTTCTTATCAACTACAAATACGAATACAAATATGTTTTGTGCACCTCACGATGATGCTTTGTGTTGAGACGCTTTACTCCGTTTTAGACCAGTCGGGAGGCAACCGGGTTACCGGTGCTGCTTTGAATTTTACGCCCAGTTGGTTGCTTGCCTGTGTGGTGGACAAGCCTTAGAAACATACGCTAGGTAATAATCGTTTTCTTGCTAAAAACATTTCAAAAACGTATTCCATCATAATTTTTTATCTCGATGACTTATCAATATACAAGGTTTTAGGACAAACAGTAATCAGCGTGCATTGCATACTGCGAAGTGCGTATACTTAGCGTTAGTGAGATCTATATTACTATTTGAGGAGGGTGCGTCTGTCCGTTACCGAGGTCCCGACTTGGTGGTGCTTTGCGTGGACTACAGGCCAGACCGTTGCACCTAGCCCGGTGAAATTTGCACAACTTATAGATCAAGGATGCGCGACGTGCCTTTGAGGGGTCTCAGCTCGATCGGATTGATAGGGAGCGCGTAGCGCGTGCTCAAAAAGTGCAAATTCACGTCATAGACTTTACATGTATAAATCGGCGTGCGAAATCGGGCGAAAACGGCTAATTTTGGCCGACACGGGTCCAGTTCCCGTGCAATATCTTGGTGACCAGGGGTCCGACCGGCACGGGGAAAACAGCATCGTGTACAGAATTGAACGGGCTATTGAATGGTGTGCAATGCAGAGGATAGCTCGCGTCACGTGCACCGGAGAGGGCACTTTTATTTGAAAAATTGCGGTTTTTGAGGGATTTTGGAATTAATTTTATTTTTAGGTGACCGTTAAATGGAGCGAGTTGAATCAACGCCTATTTGCAAGAGGAAGGTACCGCCTCTCATATAAAAATTGTGAAAAGCTGATTGATCCAAATCAAGGTGGTGCAAATCACAGGAGAAAATGGTGTTTGTCAATTTTGTGCCACTTTGTTAATCACACGGGGTTTGCTGCATAACCTGATACCTTTGGCAATTGAATATGGTACCATTGGATAGAGCATTCAATTCTGTCCAATATTCACTCTTCATTTTTGCATGATTAGCAACAGTATCCTTAAAAATGTAAATGTTCCAAACCATTACATTGTCATTTTTAGCGAAATTCATCGATGGCCCTCAAAAGACTTCACGCCAGTTTTCGAATCATTCTAAAGTAGAACGCATGATAATACGACACGGGCACCTCGATGCGATGTATCTTTTTGTTTTCTTACAAAATGCTTGGCCGTCAAAAAGCAATCGAACGAAATGGATATCTACCAACCAAATCGACACAGACCAACCCAATACCCGCGGGTCAAAAAATCCCCCCTTCGCGTTGCGGAGCACGCGGGTAACCCTAGTTCTGAACCATGCACGTTGATTATGACTTTGCGGTTTATTATCTTTCCGGATCTGTAGGTATTGATACGACTGCATTATCTTAGCGTACTACTTACTGGATAGATACGGCAATCTGGAGAATCCCAGCTTAATGTGAGGTGATGTTTTGAACCTGGGACAGCCTCAGTATTTCATTTTCGCTGCGTAGGTAAGGGAATCGGCACTTTGCAGTGCGCCCCTGCAATAGAATTAATCCTGTTACATGATTGCTCCTACTTCAGACTGAAACCTGAGTAGCTACTCGAGTGAGCTTGCGACAGCAAGAGCACTGTTATCCACTTTACTCAGCCACTCGACTGAACTGCGTTTCGCCGTTTCACGTAACGATGTGGACTGTGGAGCGCTTGGTTCGAGTGCTTGACACAAACACCCAACAAAGGATTGTGTCCATCAACCAGCCTTATATCAGCTTCATTCCATAATGATATGTATACTCCTTTTTACTCACGTATTTTGAATGTGGAATGAGGCATCAGAGAACACAAACTTTTCCGTCAAGTGCTTGAACCATGCTGCACATATAACCATGGCCGATATTACCTCGCTGTCGACTGGCTCTAAAACTCCAACAAACAAGCTGCAACCCTCGCCGATATTACCGATTTCTAATAACTGACATGCTATCGATATGGTAACAGTTTATGGTGATCGTAGTTAGCAAATGACAAACACGTGCGTCGCAGAATCATCTCATCATTCGCTCCGCTTCCTTGTTTGTGGGCGATGACTGGTGACCTGACCTGTCACCTGTCACCTCAGCTGTCAAAAAGGCTGACAATTGACTTGCCACGACCACAAGTTGTAATTGGTGTGACATTTTCTGGCACACGTGGTGTCGAGCTGTTGGTCTGGACTGCCTCTGCCTCTTGTTGCTGCCTGCCTCTAATGCCTTTTCTAGAGACGTAGCCTTTCCGTAATGCATATGCTATGTAATGTATTCTGGTATGCTGAATGTTTGTTTGGAAAAGGGTGTTCCACTATCGTCTAAGTTCTCCAAGTTTGTCCTTCATCTATCTAATGTCTGCCGATCGAAGCGTTTGTTTCCGGCATTGATGCCTCTCTCACCTGTTTTCCTATCGTCTCCGCTGGAAGTAGGGTAAGGTGCCTAATTAGCGACCCTTTCCGATTTGCGACCTACCTCCCTTCAGAAAAACTGGCAGGAGAAAACGGGGTAAAAACATCGTCAAAAGGTCAGCCATACTTTGGTTGTCAAATTAAATTATTTTCCGGTTGTCGATGTTTCTGGTGGGACGTTTCAGGTGAGTTTAGATAAAAATGACGAATTTCTTATCCAAAATGTGTGTGTTTGGGCCCTCTCTGATGAAAAGCGATGCACATTAGGATGATGCACCTTTTTTATTCTGAATCGACATTCCTTTCTTAATTGATTGCCGTTTTCCCATAGTGAATCGCTCAACTGTGCACAGCATGGCGGTCAAAAATGTGTCGCAACTCATATTTCCTATTTGCGCCTGACATGGTCGCAAATAGCTCAAGAAGGGAAAGAAAGGGGAAAAGAGAGAAATGAAAATGAGGTGTTGCTGAAGCTTGCAATGTGTGGCAGGGGATGCCAAATGTCGTCACCGACTGCAGGGGTACCGAATTCAGCGCGGACCTCAAATACCATACAAGATAGCCCGCAAAATTAGGGTTTCCGCCTTCTTTTCGCCTTCGGTGCATCACGTGATCAGTTTTTACTTACGTAAATGTGTTGAATAAACGTTCCTGTTCGAGGGATTAAGTGCTTTGCGTAATAGGTTGCCTTTTTGAGATCATATTTCATCTTTTCAGGCATCGCATTTTTTGCCATTTTTAATATGGGGAAACCCATAGACTTATTAGCGACCCTCCCCGGTAGCTAATGGGGACGAGTTCCCTATTAGCGTTTTTTGCAAGGGTTTGCCAAAATGCTCAGTGCAAACAAATTAGTGGGTATTGGGGCAGAAAATGAATGGATTTTAATAGAAAAATGAACGATCTCTCCGAAAA